CCAAAAAAAAAAAAAAAAAAAAAGATAAATTGGAAATAAAAACATTTAATTTTTTTTTTCTCCAGTGAAACGTCACCGTTTCATTCAACAGTCTCCCCAAGTTCCATTGGCAGCTGCCTCCCCATATCCAAAACCATTACTATTATTATTATTATTGTGAGGCTTAAACATCTCAATTCCACCTGCGTACGTTAGCATATCCTTAACGATCATGCTAACATGCACCGATCCCCCGCTGCCGGAACCACTTCCGGTGCCGTTCCCATGTCCGGTAAGACCGAGGAAGTCCCTGGTCAACCGGTCACTCTTCTGCCACGTGGCGTAGTCTGGACCGAGTTGACTCAGCGAGCTAATATGATTTGATGGGCGGAACTCGGGGATGTTGAAGTGAGTTATATGACCCACTGACTCGGGCTGATGGTGACCTGATTTTGCAGCGTCAATGCCAACTGTTGCGGCCTTTTGTAGTAGGGCTGTGGCTGATAGGTGAGCTGACGTGGCAACATTTGAGGCCGGTTGCACCGACACGTGGAGGTTCCTAAAGGGTGAGGTTATCATGGAAGAGGAGGAGGAGGAGGATGACCTCGCCTTGTGGTGGTGATCTTGAATTAGACCAAAAGGGTGGTAATTGTTATTATTGGAGGAGTCATCGGAGAGGGGCAAATTTGGAATTTGTTGAAAATGGTGAGAATTTGAGTCTTCAGGCTTGATCATTTGAAGGGTATGATTAGGGTTAGGGTTTAGGGGATGGTTCCAAGGGTTTAGGGACACAAGGGTTTGCGACGATGACAACGACAGTGACGATGGAGACGACGGTATTAGCGAATTCGAGAACTGATAATGGTTGCCAAAAGGAAAGAGAGATTGAGCAACCGTGGTCGAAGACAGGCTTACGTCAACACCCGTGGCACCTGAGGCGGCCGAAGCTATGGCCAATTGGTTAGCCGAGAGCCGTGCACTCTCCTCCGCCAATGCATCACAAAAAGCTCTATGGGTTAGGAACCTATCTTTCCTACACAAATTAATAGATTTTCCAAGCAATGATTAGAGATTCACCAAACAAAAGTGTTGGAATTTGCATGGAGAGTTAGAAGAATTTGAAGACATGCATGCAAACAAAGAACACTCTAAAAAATCTTTGCTTCATTTCTCTCTCCTTGTTCTTCTATCAGAAAGTAAGAGAGAGAAAAACATGAGGTGATCAAATATCAGATTTTGTTGCAGATTTACGCAGTTCTTCATAATGACTAATGGTTCAGAATTTCAGACCTCTGCAACTAAATAATAATGATTCAAACTTGTCACGGATCCATACTAAGTATCCTTAAATTGAGTACATAAGTATCGGAAGAGCTTTCCACACTCTTGTAAAATAATGTTTCGTTTTTCTTTTCAATCGATGTGGGATCTCACAATTCACCCATTTCGAGGCTTAGCCTCCTTACTGGCACATCCATTGATGTCTGGCTCTGATATCATTTGTAACAGCCAAAACCCACCATTTGTAACAGCTCGTTACGCATCGTTATCAGTCTCACTGTTTTAAAACGCGTCTGTTAGGGAGAGATTTCCACACATTTATAAAGAATGCTTCGTTTTCCTCTCCAACTGATGTAGGATCTCACACTTTTTCTCGTCCCTTTCAAAAAAAACCTCGCAAATTACTACAAATCACTCAAGTTTTCATGAATTTCCCATAATCTACACCATACCCACTAAATATAATGGAAAAAAAAATCGTTTTGTTGTAGTTTTTGCCCCAAAAAATGGATGGGAATTCAAAAAGAAGTATTTTTGTGTGAACATTGAATGCATAGAGGGTTCCACAGTAATAGTGAAAGATAGAATTTTCCCAAAATTAAGAACACTAAAGGCTTCCCATTCAAAACAAAAGACCAATCAAAATTGATTAGAAGACATGAAATTTCACCTGGAGAAAAGGGTTCCACAGTCACATCTATACTCTCTAGTTCCACAAGTTTTGGAGTGAGCTTTCCAATCAGATTGAACAGCGTAGAGTTTGGAGCATTTAAGGCATTTCCATTTCTTTTCTCCATGTTTTCTGGAGTAATGTTTTTTGATTCCTGTGAGATCTCCTAATGCTCTTGAAGGGTTATGATGAACACAACCTTCCTCTGGGCACACATACGCCTTCTTCTTCATTTCTTTGCTGCTTCTTTGCTTCAATTTCCATGGAAGTTTGTGGCCTCTTCTGTGTAGCTGCAAGTTTTGATCCCTTTGGAAACCCTTATTGCAAATTTCACACACAAATCTATTTGTTGCAAGAAGTGTTGTTGGTGAAAGTGCTATCACTTCTGCATCTGGGTCTGTTTAGAAATCAATAGATGAATTCGACATGGGGTTTGTACCGTTTACGAACGAGAAACGAGAAATGAGAAACGAGAACGTTTTGAAGTCGTACCTGGGTTACCGGGGAGGCTTCGTTTCTTCTTGAGCTTTTGTGGAGAGTGGTGAATATTGGAAAAGATGGTAGCTTGATCAGACAAGGAAGTTGAATTGGACATAATTGTTGGGGAAAACATATTAGAAGCCCTTTTTTTTTTTGTTTGTTTGTTTGGGGTTTGGGGTTTGGAATTGAGCTGAATTAGACACAAACAAGAACAAAACATGAAAACATGAGTATGCCTTTTGATTCTCTATGATGGGTTATTCTCTAAATTGGTCACTATCTCTCTTTTCTCTTGTTGTTCTTCAAAAACCCTCAAAGAATAAGAGCTTTGAAGAGATATTAACAGCTATGGCTTCTTGAATGGAGAGAGAGAGAGAGAGATTTGAAGGTGCAAATTGATGAAGTGGGAGAAGAGAGAATGAGAATTAAAAGGAGACTCAAATGGGAAAAAGGCTATAAAAATACTAAAAAAGCTAAAAAGAAGAAAAGGTTCTTCAAGGAGAGAGAGAGAGGGTGAAGAAGGGCATGACAAATATTAACCCAAAGTGAGAGAGACGAGAAGTAGATCTAGACGTCAAAGTGACTGAACTTAGAACTTGAAATCCTTGTAGAACAGTAATATTGAAAATTTTCTTTCGGTGTACTATGATATTAGAAACCTTCTCGAACCCTAATTTTGTGTAGCACTAGAAATTTTCTTGAGCGATAATACTCGGTTTCCTCTATAACCTAAACCCTTTTTAACACAACTCTCATTGAGCTTTTTACTTTTGATATGAAATCATTTTGGTCTCTTCTTCTTCCTCTTTCCTTTTCTCATCTTTCTTTATTCCAAACCTAAATCTAAAGGCAAATGGGACAATATAAGCACTCAAATTCCCCGTTTTAGCCTCCCCCATTTACCATACTTGCCAAAACTTGGCCTCAATTTCCACCTTTATCAAAGGGTAGGATTGTCTTTTCATATCTCCTTCATTTTTACAACTTTTTAAAGGGATATTCCCAATCTCTTTTTATTTTTGTTTGGTTTTGATAAGGTGAGATTTATGCTTCATTTATTCACCTTTATTTTAAATATATGAAAAAAAAAAGACCCTTTCAAAAAAAAAAATTTCTCCCTTGAAAAAAAACATGTTATCTATTTGTGTTTGGCTCTAGTATAAACATTATCCTTTGTCGGGATGAGAAATGACATTTTTCCCATGTTCAACGGTGATTTTTAGCGCAATGTAAGGATGGAGATTCAAACCTATGATATGTTCGTTGCTGGGATTTACTATTAAAGATTTGAACAGTTAACAATTTAAATCTGAGAAAAGATTTGAATTTACGATATAAATAGCTTTCACGATCACAAGAAATAAGGGAGCAGTACTTAACGAGTTCACGACTTAGTCAGTGCTTAATAGTATAGATTAGGAAATTAATAGATTATCCAAATTATTGTTAGTGAATGGTGAAGAAAATAGAAATATTTACAAAAACGAACCCTAGATTCTCTGCCACACTCTTTTGACAGTTTCCTTTTTGGAGACACAGAAATTTGGTTGACTTCCTAATTTTAGCCTTTTACAGGTACTGATTTGCAAAATGACATTTTTTTTTGCTAATTTAAACGTGTTTAATTCATAAGATTATGACATACAAAACTAAATTAATCAAGAATTTGAGAAATTGTCGATGTGATACTATATGAAGTTTTAACAAAAATGTAAATTAAAAATCAAAACACAGGATTTGAATATGACAAATTAAATTATTTTATACGAAAAAAAATTTCAACCTGAATTTCAAATATATGAAATCTACCGTAGAATTTTGATGGTGTTTAGTAAATTATTTTCTACTTTTGCATACGTCTAAAACCCAAATAAAATATATAAAAAAAATAAAAAAATCTTAAAAAATTAAGCCGCGGAATTTTGACAGAGATTAGTAATTATTTTAGAGATTAGTAAATTATTTTATACTTTCTTAAGACGTACAAAACTCAAATAAAATATGGAAAAAAAAATCTTAAAACTAATCCGCAATTTCAAATATAAGAATAGGATAATTATATTTTACCACAATTAAGTTGCGTAATTCCATATACTATGAACCTGCAGTTTACATAATAAACCGGTTGACTGGAAAAGGCTGGCAAAGTTTGTAAGCCCACATTAAAAAAGCCCAAAAGGCCCAAATAACGATGATACGTACATCATTTATACAATTCAATTTATGAACTAAGTTTATGCTCTTCTTATTCGTGGACTTAAAATTTGAATTTTTGTTAATTTGTTTGAAATTATATTTATTAGCGCATGTTTGTTAACTTATATGGTTCAATTCATATAGTAGATAACCATTCTCGAGTATCGAAAAAGCGGATGGTAAAATATTAAATAAAAAAATTTCGGAGACAAATAAAACTTTCCCGTGATTTGACAAAGTTCAAATATGACTAACATGAATTTTTAACGTTAAAGTGATAAGAAAATAGTGCTTAAAGAGAACTAAATTTGTCCAAACTCACCTCCAACTGCTCCCAAACTCAGACACTCAGACGGATACAAACTCGATTCTTAAATAATTTAGAAACTATAACAAAAAAAAAAAAGTATTAGTAACATGCCTGCACTGATCAATGTCAACACATATTCAAATGTATAACTTTTCAATACATATTCAAATGTATAACTTCAAGCGTATCATTAATATATCAGTAGTTCATCAATATGAATTCTAATTTCATATATCATATATCATTAGTACATCAATGATCCGTTAACACTCAATATAACATTCAAAATAAATCTCTAATCTTAAAAGAAGAAACATATATCAATTATCAGACTAATACTCATGTCGTATAGTTTTTAGATATAAATACATATTTCAATTTAATAAAAAATGTAATAAATTTATAACTAAAGATACTATTAATTTTTTTTATAATTTCAAAATTTAGAGGTTTGAATCACATCATCCAAAAAAAAAAAACAAAAAAAAATCTATATTCCTTAAACTTCGAAAATCTATAAAACATAATCTACACGACCTTCTAAACAGAACTTTGATAGTCATACATACTCTACACAAAACACAACTTTAATAATCTTACCTAATACAGAACTTTAATAATCATTATATTAGGCATGAAGATGATGAATTAATCATTGTCTGATAGTGACATACCATTGGACAAATATTAATCAATTCACCACCACAAGATAGCTACCAAGTAAAAGAATGGGACAAATTTGTACATGTATGCATAAAATCTTGATTTTGTCAAACTATAATTGTTTCGACCTTTTTACTACGTCCAGCCGCCAAATTAGTGGATAATTTAAGGATTAATCATGAAACATCAGCATCCGCCAATGTTATACACTAATACTGATTCCCATCATTTTTTATACAGATCTAAACAAATCTCAATATATGACAGTACATCAGATCAGTTTGACACAGGGGAAGTAGAAAGCTCGCAGCAGATGAACAGCGGGCTGATTGAACATATAAATTAGATGGTGTTCATAGTCCTATCAAGTTCTTAGTTTGGATGAATGAATGATAAAAGAGAGAGTTTTGCTAACCACGGAACAGCATGTGATCGATTCTTCAAGGATTCAGCAACACATCTTTTCTCTTTTCCAATTTGATAGCTTTTGGAATGAGCGATCTACATTTGTGTGTACCGGAATGAAGTATTACAAAAACATGAACGTGGAAATGGAAGGAAATGTACATAAAACAGAAACCAAAACCTTGAGGCTTCACTAACAGGATAAACACAGAATTTGAGTCCAACCAGATTAGGTTCCTGCAAACCTAACAAAAGCCACAGTAGAGAAATATATATGAGGAAGTGGCTGCAGAAGGGGGAAGGGAAAGCATCAACGATTATTTTTGTGTTAGAAAGATAATGCCAAAACAGAAAAAGCTGTGTCCCTGATAGCACCGATCTTTCTTTTCATCTTCTTGTCCTGCCAAAGAAGAAACCAAAAGAGGGTTATAAAGGGGCTTAGAACATTGCCCCAAAGGCCTACATGGAGCAGCCTTTTCTGGACTTCCAGTTCAAATGGGTCGTTTGTGAATTCCCCATATGATGCCCAGCGGGATGGCTCTATCGTGGGTTTGAGCCCAAATAGCCCAAACGATCAGCCAGAACTTTCACATCTTCATCGTCACCACTGGCTACCTCCAACCTTTCGCTGAACAATTCTTCCCAAAACCCTTCATCAAGTACTTTATCTCCATCCGCTGGTGGAGGTAAATGATCTTCTTCCTCTTCTTCTTCTTCTTCTTCCTCCTCCTCCTCCTCCTCCTCCTCCTCCTCCTCCTCTTCATGTCTTGCCCTGCCAAGCCCCTGCATCTCCAAGGCAAGTGCTTCTAGCTCTGTAATCCCAAACCCATATTCTTCAGGTTCAAGAGGCTCAATCTTGATGGTGCTTGAACCTTCACCCAAGAATCTCCCACTACCACCTCCGCTCTGTTTCCCGCCTTGTTGAATAGGCCTTCTTCTTTTCCTAGTTATGGCTTCTTCAAGCACCTTCCTCTTCTCCTTCTGCTGGAGTAATTGCTGAATGAACGATGGGTTTTGCATAGCTCTTGCTAAGAAATTCATCATTTGTCTCTGCTTAATTTCAGTTCCTCTAAGCCTTTGCTCCATTGCTTGAAGATACGCTCTCGTGTTCTGTTGCTCTTGCCTTAGCTTCACTAACTCCATCATTAGCACTTGCTTGTCACGTTTTAAACGATCCATTTCTGCATCTACACCAAATTGACCAACCTCTACACAAGCTCCACTAGCAGCTTGTGATTGGGGAGTTTGGTGGTGGTGATAAGTTGCCCTCCTCCTCTTTATGTTCTTAAGAAGATGCTTTTGGCCTCTGAGAAATCCCTCATTTGCGAACTCCCATCTATCTGGATCTATCTTTCTAAAGCCCTGCAAGAATTTACAAGAAACAATTAAAAAAACAAAACCTAGAACCCAACCTCCGAGATTTCCTTTCGCCTGGACAAATTTCTCAAGAACCTTTCCCTTACAACAAATTGTTCCATGAAAAAGAGACTAGATGACCGTACAGGTGAAGATCAAATGGCCAGATCACTGCTCTTCTGATTGATACATTTCCAATTGAATTTCCCAATTTAGGAAGATTCTGGAGACATGGCAAGAAAGGCCTGGAAGGTAAAGCAGCAGAGCTTTCCAATCGAAGATTCCAGAATAATGCAATATAAAATTGGTGAAATTACATTTCTACCCATTCGAGCTACGAAGCAACAACGAGCCAAAAGAATGGCAAAAACGGTATTTCAGACTACGATATTTTCAAGGGTCTCCAGAAATGGAAACACAACGAATTGATGTAAAAGAAAACCAAATTCCAAATTCCAAATTCAAAACGGAGCAATAGAAAATGACTTACGTAAGTATTAAGCTGCCGAACGAAACTGGAAAAGTTATTATGCTTAAAGAATCTGGGAAGCAATTCAGTGGAGAAGCAATGGGGATCCCAAACGACGAAGCTATTTCCCCCAAAGCTCCAAGAAATCACATGATCGGTGTTAAAATCATCAACGATTTCAAACGTCTTCGTCAGAAACGGCGGTGGACCGGCATCGTGAAGGCCCTCCATCGGAATCGGAGGAGCCATAGCCAATCGCTCTCTGTCGGCCTCCGACGAATTCGATCCAGGAAACTCTTCCTTAACCGAAAACAGAGGATTCATCTCTGCAACAATCGCGTATAAATCAACATACAAATTCCCCCCCAATGTTCGAATAAAAGATTCATTCACTTTCAATCATCTTACAATCAACAACAACAACAACAACAACAGAAGAAGAAGAACAACAACAACAAATCAAAAAAGAAAAAGAGTTCAAAATCAATTACAGAAACGAGAGAAAAATCAATGAGAGGGAAGAGAAGCAGAGTACAAGAATTCCATTGAAAAGCATCAAAAACAGCATCCAAATGCTTAAATACGAAACGGAAGGAGATAGTTGGAAAGTTCTAGACCTTGTAGCATAAAGAAATGAAAAATCGCAGAGAAGTTTCTTGGGGAAGTTGGAGGAGAGAGAAAGTAGAGAGAGAAAGAGAGAAATGAAGGTTCTGGAAGGTCGAATGGAAATGGAAGCTCAACGATGAGGTGGAGCTCAGGGCTCGCAGTCTTATAAATTGGTGACCACAAATGACCTTAGGAGACGCCAGCGGGTCCCTTTATATATAAAAATAAATTTCTATTGGTTGGAATTTGGAATATTTTATTCATTTTTTTTATTTTTTGTCTTCCTTCAATTTAAGCAAAAATTTGTAAAAACAGGAGAACGCTTACGTGGCATCACCAAATGAACAGTGAAATCGCCCACGTGGATGCTTAAAAAGCCTACACGTAATGATTCTTCCAACTCGGCGTATGACCCCAGCTTCAATCACTTCAAATAGCAAGGCAACACTTGTGCAAGTTGCAAATATTTTAATTCGAAATATTATTTTAATATTGATGCACTAACAAAACAAAAACAATAAATAAATAATAATAATATTATTATTTTAATGTTTCATGTTTCTAGACTCTTCCGTCGGATAATGTTATGATATTATTATTATTATTTATATAAATATAACCTTAGTATCAGAATTAATAATTTTGTTTTTTTTTTTTAAAATGATGTTTTGTAAATAAATCAGAATTATTTAAAGATTGTTGGTTTACAATTAAACGTGACACCTATAATTTATTTCTTAAAATTTAAATAATAAAAAAATAACGTAAAGTCAAAATGAGTTGAGTTGACTTTAGGAGTGTGAGTTTGGAGGAAGGTTCTGGAAGGTTCGAGAAATATGGAAATGGAAGAAATGGTGTGAGGGTGGGGATGGGGTTTGCACGTAGTCTTATGAAATAGTGACCACGAATGGCCCGGAGATATGGGAGACTATCCAATCTAAATTAATAAACTTTTTTTTTTTATTTTGTACAAATTTCAATAATAATAAAAAATATTAACTTTGTGGATGATATTTCATAGGAGGTATTTTTTGTTTTTTCTATTTTTATTTTGTGTTTTGGCATTTAATTATTAAATATCAAACGGATAATTGAAGGATTCTCAAAAATTCAAAACAGAAAAATAAAATGGATTAGTCGTCGTGGCTACTTCTCATATAAAGCAGCGAAAATGGAAAATATCAAAGTTGGCTTACGTGGCATCTTTTACACGTGGAGGCTTTTTGATTCGCCACGTAATACTTGTGCTCTATCTCTGACCTCAATTTCGGCGTTTATGTTAGCCACTTGTGCAAGTTGGTGAATATTTTAATTCCAAATATTGTTTAAATTATTATTTTTGCACTGACAGGTATTATTTTATTTAAATTGAAAATATTATTTTAAATTTTTGAGCACAAGTTCTTAGCTCTTTCTAGACTCTTCTTTAGATAATGTTCTAAAACTTAAATAATGAAATGAGAAACTTCGTAAATTCTATTTTTTGTTGCTTTTTTTCGGGAAAAAAAATCTAACTATTAACTATTAAAAGTTTAAATAAATTAAATAAAATAGAGAAGGAAAAAAGAAATTTAACTTATCCTATCTACCATACAATAAATAACTTTTAACTTTCATCTATGGATACGGTTAAGGATGACTGTTTATTATAAGGCAGATATTTGGCTTACGACTTACAATATTTACCCTTTTATTAGCCCTTTCATTACTTTTTATTATAAGACAAATATCTTACGCTTACAATATTTACCTTTTTATTAGCCATTTTATTAGAATCAAATATATTGTATTTATTTATTATTCTTTTCCTTTAAATGTTATCTTCATATTATTAGTAATTTACCATATTTCTGTATTATGTAAATGATTATAAATAAGAGAACTCTCGCCACCATTTAGGTGTGGTGGATTCAGCAAACATTACCATATACAAAAAACGACCCATTAATAAAGAATAAATGAATTACATTTAAGATATATACATGTATAATAATTAATCTAGTATAAAACTATGTCACGTGGAACATGGATATTTCAAGACTAGCTATAAAGTTGCCAATTAAAATGATCTTAAGATTAGTGCAAGTATCAAAATTAGTAAGACAAGCTACAAAACCCTAAGCTTTTAAGGCTTCCAGACAAGCCCATTTTGCTCAATTACATGAACCTAAAATTTCAAGACGTGAAGAACATTTTTCTTGAAATTTGCAGAAAATGTTAAAAGGGTACAAGAGAAGCAAAAACAGAAACAGAAAAAGGCTAAGCTCCTAGTAAGTTGAGTGACAGTTGAGGCAATATATACAAGTGGTAACGGTCGGTCGTGTTCAACTTATACTGTTGCCTCCTTAAAGCTCTTGGCCAACCATATGGCAGTTTCCCTGGGAGAAACTTTCTCAGGTCCAAAGGGTTTCAGCAACACCCCAAGCTCTTCAAACCTCTCTTGCTGGAGTAATTTAGCACTGAACTCGAGGAGCCCTTCCAGTGCCTCTGCTCGTTGCTGGTACGACGAGGTGTCGAACCGTCGTTGCCGTGACTCGAAGGATAAACGGCTTGAAGAGGCGACTGCTGGATTGTGCTCGAAGTAATCACTTCCATTTCCAGGAACTCTATAGCTGGATGGCGTTGTGGTGGTTTTGTCCACCACCTGGACAGTGCACTTGTCCTTTGTAATCGAGCAGTTGGTGAAATCTTGTGAGTTGGCAGAGCACTGTGCCGATGTAGATGATGTTCCACGGATGTACAGGAGAGGATCCTCGGAAGAAACCAAGGGGAATTCTGCAATCTTATCGATTCTAGGGGCATTGACAGAGATATCTTGGGAGTTCATGCCGTGAAGCAGCCCAGTGTTCGACCTATAAGGGGTGCCAAAGCCTGCAGCTTTTGTTGACAGTGGAAGAGATGCCCTGCGAGTTGAGTGTGAAGATCTTCTAGCTGGAGTATGGGATGCTGGAATCTGCAAACCAACAGACCGAAAATTAATAATTTCAATTGTTGGTGTTTAACATGTCCTTAAGATTAAACGGACATATTAGAAAACACCCCTACAGGTCAACTAAGCTAAAACCTAATGTAGATCAACAACACTACATACAAATTTATAGTAAACTTACAGGATTGAAGTTTGCAGGTGAAAACTTTGATGAGATTGTCTGCTTTTTGGGTGTAGCAGAGGGCTTAGCATTAGTCAACCTTGGGGTTTTCGAAGTTGTTGGAAACTTTGAGGTTCTTGATTGGTCAACATCACTTTCTTTGTCAGCACTACCAACAGATAATTCCTCAAACTTTTTATTCAAATAACTGGGCAACTGCTGTGATCTTCGAGAGGAACATTGTGACTCTTCGTCCATCGTGGAGACGCTGGGATTCAATGCCCTGTCATTGCTAAAAGACAGTCTCTTCTCTCTGAAAGTTTTTAAGCCACCAGATCCTGGCTCTACAAATCTTGTTTTCTTGATGTAGTTTGTATCAGACCGTTGAAGAGGAAAAGTACTTCGCCTAGGGCTATTCAACTTAAGGTGAACCTTAAGAACGTAGGGCTGGAGATGTGGATGATTGAGTAATTCAGCGGCCTAGAAAGTAAAAGCAAAAGAACAACGTCAAGAAAAGTCCACCAAAAAGATAAAAAGTTTTGTCAATGCTCGATAGAACTCCATGCATATTATCAGAATATAAAGAAATGAAGACTTCATTACAAATGCACACAAATTGTTCGATTCTATAAAGACCAATTCAACTACTTTCTTCCCTACAAATGGTCTTAGAAACTCGGGTGTGAAGATGCAGTCTAAACTTGGCTAACTATCACACTTCCCAAAACATCAGCAAGAACATACTGAGAGTAAACATCGATAGTATTCTAAAATAAATTCTGTCCATCATGACAACAATATTGAACAAGAACAAAAATAACGTGCCGACAACTGTTAGAAAGAAAAAACCGAGCCAATTATACAATAAAGATAGAGCCCAAGCAGATATGACTTTTCATTAGACATGCAAATATAATTAACTTCAGCTTATAGTTCATTCCCCAATGTACGTGTATTTCTTGAGATAAAGTCAATTACGCAGGCAAGAAAAAGAAAAAAAAAAAAAAAAGGAAGAAAAGACATACACTTGGTCGGAGCTCCGGATTTTTCCTCAGCATGCTTTTGACAAGCCCTCGACTGAATGGGTGATCAAACAAATATTTCAGAAAACTTGATGTCATTACTCAATGACCATATAAGTAGAAGAGTACGGATAAAGATAATTGATGATCAATTTAGGATAGGTTGACAATTTACAAAAAATGGTTAATGGAAATGCAGGAAGGAGAGAAATAACATCAAACGTTTTGAATCAGACAAAAGAAAGTCAGAATATAGTTTAGATGTCAGCTAGTTGATCAACTGTACAGACTAAATTGGGACTCACAATGCACCCGAATACATGGTTGGAAGTGGAGCCACGATGGATTTGTTAATTTTATTGATCAAGGATTGCATATCCTGCTTGGGAAAAATATCAAATTAGTCTTGCCCAAGAAAACAGGAACACATTGCTGCTTAATCTAATTTAACTACATGATGCAGGTAAAATGGCCCATCAGTTTTTCTGGATATAAATATGACTATTGATAAGCAAAGCAACTACAAGCGACTTACGAAGGCTTTAAACGCTGGTTTGTGAGCAGCCATTTCATGTATGCAACATCCTGAACAGAAAGTTGGCCCATATAGACATTCAAGAAATCACAACTGATACGAGATAGGGATATAGGAATCAATAATAGGTGGTTTACCAAGAGACCATATATCTGACTTTGAACCATAAGGTATGTCGGCAAGAAGCTCAGGGCACATGTAACTTGGAGTACCCACAACCTGCAGTGCATCAGAAATATTACAATTCTGACTCTAGCAATCCCTTTCTGGTTCACAAGCACCAACACCACCAAATACGGAATAGATATACATGATTTCTGAGAAAAAACACATTATAAATTTATCCAGACTCTTTGCCATACTACTCACAGAGGAAGCAAGGTCATCCGAGGTCAACATTTTAGCAAGGCCAAAATCACCTACAAGGCATATATTCAGTTATTTTTCAAAAAACTAGAAATAAAATATTTTATGAAAGTTGAAGAAAAAAACTATATAGAGAGAAACAGTGGCCAAGGCAGATGGGTTACCTAGGCGTATGTC